GCCCTCCTAAACTCTGTTTTCACTGGCAGAAGCACCACGGGCTGTCCTTTGCTGATTCCAGGTCACACCATGGGCCAGATCCAGCTCACAGGCCTTGAGTTTGATACCCCTTATTGCCTATTGCTGTTACTTGGGTTAGAAAGTTAACCGGCATTAACTCTTATACATTTCACTTCAATATCTCAATTCAATTAAATATGGAAAAGAATGCTGGAAGGAAGTGGACATAGCATCAGCCATAACATTAAACCACAGAATACTCAGAATGGCATTAGATTAGGAAAATAATGTCACCTCCTTGATGTAGGAATTCCTCCATAGAAGGAAAACCAGCAGCTCAAGACAAAATTACCATGAAGAACTGTCATAAATGACCTGAAGAATGGAGAATGCCCACAATAGCCTACACTAGCTAATACTAGATGGACTGCTTATAATTAAATGGAGCACTGCTTACAGATAGCATAACAGATATCTCATGCTCCAAGAACTCAGAAAACATCATTACTGAAGTGGAACAAGAAAAGATGTGTGAAGGATATTGTCTATTTATGTCTTCAATAAAAGGTTATTGGGGCATCTTTGCTTTGGGAAAAACAGGAAATGAGGCTGAGCCCTTAGTTACATTTAACAATTAGAAAATTTGTTTCCTAAGATGTTGTTGCCAGAAATTCAATGATCACATCGGCTACAAGAGATTTGTTATGTAGCCAAAGCCCTTAAAGTCTTTAAATGCTCTCATAAAATATTTGGCAGAACAACTAGTATTGTGGCAGAGACAGCACTGATGACAATACATGATTCACTTATCTTTAGTTTGCAAGACACCCAAAATATTGTAATCAGATGTTTTAAATAAACCAAGAACAAGAGATTTCAAATATTTTATTCATTGGAAATACAGGTTCAGCAGTAAATAAGATGCTACTATAATCTTAAAAGCCAATTATGTGTTTTGAATGTTCTGGGATGTCATGCACTATCTGGTGGCCAGAGGACTGCTATACAGAGGAATGCTGTAATATGAGTTGTAAAAAACAAAGAAACAAACGTAGGATTGTAGTAAGAACAATGAGAATCTTTTCATAATTGATTGAATCTGCACTTAACAAGAATTTGCATGGATAGAATAAATGAATATTTTGTTCCTCTTTTTTTTTTTTTTTTTTTGAGTGCAGGGACAGTTGCACTGAATGGCTAGCTGCATATCCTTTTGTTGAGGGAGGAAATTTTGCCAGTTACCTGAGCTTTGGTGATAAAGTTGCCAATGTACTGATGCAGTACCAATGCAGGGGTTTGGATGGGGAGGAATAGAATTTATTTGTTTGTTTGTTTGATTGATTGATTTATATGCCGTCCTTCTCCGGAGACTCAGGGCGGCTTACAATGCTTTTAAGCAATAGCCTTCATACTTTTGTATACACCTGCTTAGTAGGGCTTTTGGCCCCCCCTAAGGGGTGTTCTATTTTATACAAAGTCAGCTTATTGCCCCCACAATCCGGGTCCTCATTTTACCTACCTCAGAAGGATGGAAGGCTGAGTCAACCTTGAACCTGGTGAGAATTGAACTTGCAGTAATTGCAGGCAGCTGGCAGCTAAATACTACTTTAACAGTAGTTTAGTCCACTGCACCACCAGGCTCTTGATTTTGGCTTAATTATCACAAGACGTGTGGAGATGGCTGTTTGGGTTATTAATGTTTTCATCATTGATCTTGGATGGTCTTCCTTATTCCTTATTGAAGAGTGGTACACAACTTAGGTGTCCTTCTGGACTTGCAGTTCCAAGAAAAAAAGATAGACACAGGTCTTTATGACAATTTTATCCTTTCCTTGACGAAGAATGCTCCTCAAACAATCGTTCATACCCTAGTTACCTCACAACTGGAGTATTATACTGTAATCTACATGGCTCTACCTCTCCAATATGTTTGCAGAGTGGGCTCACTCTAGGTCCCCTTATCTTGCAGGACCAAGGAAGTGTGCATTTTTTGTTGCCGCTCGAGATATGAATGTCCTTGGTTTTTAAAATCTGGCTCTATTCTGAAGACTGGGATAAATGTATTTATTGATGAATTTGTGGGACCCCTATAATATGGTTTATTATTTTGGTTATTTATTTCTGACTTCTTAATTGTTTTTTATTATTTTTGGAATTTGTAAGCCATACAGAATTTCATAGAATGTCATGATGGTCATACCAATGTATGAATTACATTAACATGAATTAAAATTATAGTATCTAGATCAAATATTGGCTTGTTTCAAATATGTAGTCTTTATCATTAAAACAATATGGGATTGTTGATATATATATATATATATATATATATATTTTAAAAAATAGCTTTTTGAAAAGGGGATGGCAATAAGTAAATTTGTAAATCTCCATAACCATCAGCATTATGTGAGTGAGCCAGAGAAATGAAATTGTTTGGTCATGGTGGGCTAGCTTAATGTCATCCTGAACCAGACTCCAAGCTAGTTTGTGTTCCAAGTCTTGGCTTCAATGGATAGATCTGTTATGGGATGTCCTTAGTGTTGTTGTCAGACACCATCCCCTTCCATTTTTTAAAAAAGTCTTTGCCTCCTCTTCCTCCTCCAGGTTCTAATGCCTTTGTTTATATCAGGGTCTCTAAGCTTGGCAACTTTTTAGCCAGAGACTTGTGGACTTCAACTCCCAGAATTCCTTAGCCAGCTCCTGGTTCATATGGTTAATTTTCAAACATACAAAGTATAAAACAACAATTTTTCTTATACAGAACTATGTTTAGATTTCTGGATTCTGATTCAAATAGAAAATAATATATTTAAAAAGAATATATTTAATTTAGTGTTACATTGTGGAACTCTCTGAAATTGGTTGATTGCTTGCAGATGCTTCATTACCCAATTAGGTAACATAATCACAATGGAGATTCAGAAGGTCATAAGAAATCACTTAATACATAGATGGAACAAAAGTGAAAATATATCTCTGGCTAAAAAGTAATACAAGACCTTCTGTGAAATAGCACGATCAAACCAGATGTAAAAACTTTCAAAGTTATTTCCTGAACTGTATGCAGATAAAAATATGTTTGGAATAGTTATATTTACAGTCAATTAAAAATGTTATTTCTCAAGGAATATAGCCAATAGTCAACTGTATGTCCCATGGTCATAAGAAATTAGGTTGGTATATAATAATCTAAGAGTTAAGATGGAGTTCTCATTACATATTCTATGAAATGGTACATTATTTGGTTACATTTTCTCCATTCCTGATTGAAACTATTGTTTTAAGCATATTTAGAGAGAAGAATTCCAGAGATCCTGAGATAGAAACAGAAGAGGGAACTGAAAAGCAGGGCTACAATATGGTGCTTCTATCATAGAGTGATCCAAAAGATAAATTATAACAGTTAAATAATATTTTTAAAAGATAGATATTTAAATGTAAGTTGATTTAATTGAATATGACTGTATAAAGACATTCTAAACATTTTTTGAAGACATTCCAAAAAGGTTGAGATTCTCTTTTTAAAAAAACTAGTGCTGTTCAATCTGAAAACACACTGTTAAACCTACATCTATAATCTCTTAAACTCAATTGTAATGCTCAGTCAGACATTCAGATGCCTACCCAGGGAAAAGCTGCCCAAAGCATACTATTCTGTGCCTTCCTGAAAGAGTACAAAGTCCCGAAAATGATTTCTTGAGAACCGGGTAACCTGCAGAGCAGAGCAGAGCAGAGCAGAGCAGAGCAAGAGCAGAGCAGAGCAGAGCAGAGCAGAGCAGAGCAGATTACAAAATGGTATATAGTGCTATGCTCCACTTTCACAGATATCTCTACCTAATTTTTGATTTTGTCCTTTCTAACTCCATCCTTGGTACCAAAGGCCATTTCAGTGTCATTCAAGTATCATGATGAAATGAATACAGATAGTCCTCAACTTATAACACGGGTGTCAAAGTTGCGGCATCAGGTTGCTGTCACGTGACGTTTCGCGATGTTTTTTCCCTTTGCAGAGCTGGGGTGGGTGTGACCTGTGTGTGACCCATCTGGCCCATGGGCCTCCAGTTTGACACCCCTGACTTACAACTACAACTGGCCCCAAAATTTCTGTTGCTAAGTGATATCGTTGTTAAGTGAATTTTGCCCCATTTTATAATCTTTCTTGTGCACAGTTGTTAAGTGAATCACTTCAGTTACTAAATTTATAACATAGTTGTTAAGTGAATCTGTCTTCCCCATTGATTTTGCTTGTCAGAAGGACACACGGCAACCATCATAAATATGAATCAATTGCTTAGCTGAAATAATGAATTCAGCTGTAAGATTGTAAAGTCTATTTAGAACGTAAATGTATATAACAACATAGGTTGGAGGTACAGTGAGTGGAAGAAAGTGGGAATGTGGCAGATTTCTTTTATATAGTACATTTACTTTCCAATAATTTTCTAATTTAATAATGCATTAGACTTCCAAAATGTAAAGTAAATCCTCCACTGAAGGTGAGAAACTATTGAACAAAGCCAGTTTATGAAATTAGAAAGTCCTATCATTTTGTTCACTAAACAGAATTATTAAGAAATTATACTAAAATCATTAATCAAACAGTTTTAAATAAATATATGGTTAAATACAAATCTTTTGTACAAAGACAATATATTAGCAACAGAACACAAATGCTCTTAAAAGATAATGTTAATTTAAAATTAAGTAGGTTTGCTTCTAACACAAGTTTAATATGATAATCTTTAAGGAAGCAATTACTTAGGAAAGCAGTTAAAACATCCACCCACATTTATAAATGTCATTAGAGAAAATGCTGTTGAATCATTCACAGCTATGTTAATTGCAAACAACCAAACTGGACTTCTTACTTATCAAAACTAAAATGTGCACAGAAATGTCATTTCTCCTTTAGCATTTTGATCATTCTTTTAAGGCTTCTAGTCCTGTGAGAGCCTATTTATACTGTGATTTTCTGGCCATAACAAAGAAGTATACTGTACCTCGTGTGTTGATGGCTGTTGCCGATGTGACTGTGCCTATGCCTGTTAAGGCTACAGTGGCTGTGACTGTTGCAGTGGTAAGGGAGGGGATGACAGTGGTGGGAAGCAAAATGTTGGAAACATCTGGTGAGTGGAAAAAAATATAACATAAAATCATATCATGCAAACAGAGAGAAGCAGCATAACAATGATTCAGCTTGTCAATACACATGTGTAGAAAATGTATCAATTAAAACATGCTTAGCACAGATCAACAAAGGTAAGGTAACATACTTTGAAATTCTTGACATTAAATCTCTCTCTTTCTTTTTCTTTCTCGCTCTCTTTCTTTTTTGAATGCTCAAATAGTATCAGACTGAATTTTGGACCAATCAACGAAGAGAATTGTTCAAAAGAAAAGTTTTAAAGTCAGAGAGTAAATCTTTATGACAAGAATTCATTTCTTTGCTAAGCCATTTTAAATGTCTTGTACGGTAAGAAAGCAAATATGGATGAAATAACATGCTGTGTCAGCGTGGGAGATGACAACACAATATCATCATGCTAAAATAAATACACATGTTAAGTGATGGTTGTATGTTAAAACACCTACTTTTCAGACAGACTCAATGGAAAAAAAAATGTGAGCAAATGACTACTAACTCTAAAAGCTGCTGGTTTTGGTTTGCTTGTCTTCTTCCACATTTTGTTAGAGACACAGTCATCTGCTAAGACCCAGAGCAGAAACACATTAAAAACCCTTAACTTTTATAGGGTTCACTATCGTTCAACAGCATTGGTGAATATTAAGTATATAATGTAAAGAAATAATTTATTAACCTTAATAATTAATGGGGGAGGTGGCAGTTTTGGGGGCTATTCACATCAATGTGCTAATTAAAAGATTGATCTATAGAGGACACTTACCAGAAGAGAAACAAACAAGCATTATCAGCATTCAGATCATATTCTAAACCAAGAGCTGCTGCATGTCAGTCTAAATGTATTACTGATAATCACATCATAAATTCCCTATTCTAATTCCAAGTGTGCATATGTATGTATGAAAAGTGTATATGAGATAGATATTTTAATTCTGAAAGTGCAATAAACAGAGGATGGGGGAAAAAAAATTCACTCCCTAAAATTTTCACTGCCTGAAGCAAAGTTTTTGTTTGATTGTTTGTTAAAAAGACACAGAAGAAAAGAAAACATGGAAGAAAACCATTGAAAATGTTCAGAAATTTGGCTTTAAGCACTATGTATCTAGGAAACTAGCCACATAGACAGAGTTAAAAACACCATTAGTTCAGGAATAACTAATGATATCTGTGGAGGATAATACAAGTCAGAAATACAGCTTTCATTTTCTTTGAAAACCAATATCAGAGCATTATTTCTGTGGATACATGGTAAATAAAATCAGGCAGCATCATATAGTGGGATTATTTTCAAAGCATAGAATCCTGAGGTTTAGAATATTTTATGTATACCAGCAGCCTCCATTCACAGCTAATTATTCCACTAGACTTTTTGATTTTAGACCTATTCCTAATGTTTATGCATTACAAATTATATTGCCATTTCAAAAGACTGCCTCTCTTTTCCCTAGTTAATACATTTGAGATACCCCAAAATGTCACACTCCCATTCCCAATTAATTAGAGTAAACATTATTATTCTCTAACATTTACTTTTGCAAAATTTTCACCTAGGTATCTATATAACTCTGTGCTTACAACATATTAACATTTAAAGCAGTTCCTCAATAAGAGATAACCCTGGCTATCAAAATTAAGGCAGGCTTTTCAAAATTTAATGTTGCTACATTAATCACAAGGACAAACTACAACATTGTCTGGAGAGCAACTGCCATGACTATTAAACAGAACTGACATTAGTCAACATTAATCATGAATGATCTTCTTTTTTAAAAAAGAAACAACTTGTGCATTTCTTAGCATTATTATGCAAACAGCATAATTCATTTAAAAATGGATAGGTTAGCAATCATGCAAGAAAAAAAAGACTAGAATTTCAGAGTATTTCGCCATATAATAAATATTTTATAACTATTCCAGAAACTGGCTAAGAAGGAGTTTACATAACTGAATATGTGCTTCATAAATGTATATGTGAACTACAGCACAATCCTATGCCAAAATCCAGTTTATGTAGATTTCAAAGTAATGTAAAGGGGAAGAGAAATCACTGAAAACCAAGTGGAGGTTGCCTGTCTTGGATATTATATGACGAGACTAAAAAAACAAAAAACAAACCTGTACCATAAACTATGGTTTTGGGAACAGAAGATAAACTAAAACTTCCCTCAACATAGCTATAATGCCTGTACACTGTAACTTAATCTTATGTCATAGAAAATTAAATTAAAATTATGTCAATGAGTTTTTAATGTTTTTTAATTTTTTAATATCTTTTTATAATGATTTTTTAAATGTATTGTGAGCAACCCTGAGTCTTCGGAGAGGGGCGGCATTAATTAATAAATTAATTAATTAAATAAATTAAATCTTGGAGAGAATGGCCAAGCAAGGTTAGAGCTGCAAGATAATCTATAAATTGCATTACATTTAGGGATGCAATTGAAAAAAAAGATGCTTGCAGATTCCAATCTTGGAACTCAGCAGTTCAAACTCAATTAATCTGTAAAAATATAGCTATTTCACACCAACTACTTATAAGATGTCCTTCTCTCATATCATCCTTCCTTTGCATTAATATCTTCAATAACTTAAGAAAAAAGTATCTTGATTTATTGTGCCAATGTTTTCATTTCAGCACCAAGTTTGTACACTTATTCAATGTTTTTATTGTATTTGTAATTGATTTTTTTCTTTTTTTTATTAGCTGGTTGAATATTCTTATGCCTGTTATTTTGTAAATAATGTAATACATTATTAAATTATTATATAGCTCCAAGTAAGACAGGATTATTTTAAAAATATTTTAAACATACATATGTTTGGATGTGGTGTCATTTAAATTCAGCAGAAATGATTATAGCTTGGATGCTTAAAACTGTGAAATTGAGCTTAGTTCATAGAATAATCTAACTATTTCCACTTTCTCACTGGAATCAAATACATCTTTAGGTATTCTTAAAGCTTGCGGATTCTTTTCCAGAAGCTGGTGGTCTTGGAGAAGTAGAAATCTGATACTTCATTTTGCCTCTCCCAGTTACAACAATTTAATTCATGCATATGTTTTTCTAATGGTAGAGTTTCTGGTTGTTTTTGGTTGCTTGATGTTGCCTCTGGCACACAATATGTTTCATTATAATTAATGTTGCTATTACTATTTTTTTCTTTGATTGCCACCTTGAGATGCACATTGATTTTTGTGGCTATATAAATTGATCACAATAACAAAAGCCAAAAAGAAACTATTCAGAGTTATGTCTAATTACTCATGCATTCTGCATTAATTTCTCATTACCACATTTAAACATGTTACCATGTTGAACACACCAATAAAAATCCTGCACTTGTGTTCATTAAAAAACAAACAAATAAGGAAAGGAAATCCACAAAACTCTATATAATAGGAACATAAGAGTTAGAATACAGCCTCTCTAAGCAATAAGGAGAGCTTGATTTCACACTGAATTGAAATGAATCAATTTTCATGTGTTCTGCTACACATTTTCTATATTATATAAGTCATTGACCTGTACCTCCTTTGATGAAATAAAGCAATAGGATGCTTTAGCATTTAGGATGGCTTCACAGTACCTCCATATATAGTGGTATAAATAATTAAAACAAAATAGATTAAATGCTAGAGAAATAATGATTAATAAATTATATAGTTTAGCCTCAGGACATTCCTTTTCCTCTTATTAAACAACTGGTGACAGATAAGGAAAACAAACATATGTATCCCAGAATCTGATGACAGTATACAAATCAATATAAGGAAGAATTTATAACCGATTTAATAAAAATGACATCATGGCAAGGATTTGGCTTAACCTTAAATGTATTTCTATTGCACTTCCTGCATTAAAAACTGCAAAGCACATTTGGATGATGTTGTGAACTAAATTTTGAAATGTATTCACATCATAAACTTACTCTATGGCATAATCCCAATTAAAAATTTCAGGCAAAAATTTTTTGGCTGAAAATAACAGACAAGTTATCATCAAATTATTAAATATTTGACTAACCCCTAGCTAATACTTTAAAAATGGCAGCTTTTTAAATTAAACAGTTCAGTTCTGAATATAACAGTATCTTCCAGATGCCATCCATCCATCCATCCATCCATCCATCCATCCATCCATATGTACATACAGGCATACATATATACATGGTTGATATGAAATAACTGGCCCAAAAGTCAGGAATACTTTTTTTGTTAAAAAAAAAAAGGTTAAATTGTTAATAGTAGGATTGGAAAATAATGTAGTACATGATACAACAATAATGTGCTTGTTGGAGAAGATTTTTCACATGTTGGATGATGTTAAGCATGGCAGCAATTTTAGCTGAGGGCACCATCAAATCATGGCCCTTAGACATTTGTTATAGCTACTGTACCTAGATAGCATCACATACTGGCACATCCTGTATGATTACTAAGTTTTCATTGTGTGAGAAGTAAGATTTAGGGCAGCATGATTTTCCACTGGCTCCAGGATGGGAAGAAGTATGGAAAAACAGCTGAGAGACACTGACTCTTCACAGGAGCTCCAAAACAGAATGGCTCTCATCTTTTTATTGTTTATTTAAGGCCACTTATCAAAACACTTATTTTTATTTGAAATCAATATTCCATAAGTTATAGTACATACAATAAAAATTAAGAAACAAAAACATTTTGGAAAAATCAAAGAAGAAAACAATAAAACTTTAGTTTGCTTTTAAACTTTAAGTTTGGCTAAAGCAACTCCATTTTAACTTTTCATGAACTCTGGGAGAAAGGAAGCAGACTTGTACTAATGATAGTTAAGGTAATAGGCAAGTGAAATCTGAAAATATATTTTACTTCTTGAAAATAGGATAATGGGGTCAGTAGCTGGGTATTTTTAGGTCATCCAGTGATGCGTGAAATTGGAAAGCAATTCATCAAGAACAGACAGAGACTGGAAAATAGCAACTGGATATAAGAAAGTGAACAGT